AAATTAGAGTTATTCCAAAAATTAAATGACTCATGTTATATTGCACCAACAGGTTTTTAATTAAACTTTGAGGTTCTCTGTAATAGTGAAATCATGGAATAGACATTTTAGAAACCACAACTTTAAAGAACTTTAGTGTAAATGTAAAAATGTTTCTTTAATTATAGTTTCCTATAATCTATAGAATCACTTCACATCCTATAGTTTTCTATATTTCCAAGGAGATATTTTTTAAAGGGGATTACAAAAGCATTGGCAGAGAAACTACAAGTAGTTTTCAAACAAAGCAGAAATGTTTTGTAATAGAGTTGGTAAAATTCTACATTTCATGAAAAGGATATTCACAAACACACATCATTTATAATTCTCTCATCAGTTAGACTCTGAAGGCCCATCAGATGTTGAGACATTGTGAGTAGAAGTTTAGAGATACAGATGGAGGTTATTCCTATTTCGCTGTGAAACATCCACTAATTAATTCCTTACCAGTTTACCAATGTTCTAATATGGTGTTCTTCAACATTTCCAGGTTGGCAGCCTGTGGGGGGGGGGGGGGGGTCCCTGGGGACCCATGATGGTGGAGGGGGGGGAGCGTCTACTGTGAAAAGGCTCAGGCTTTGGACTGGGGGGGGGGGGGAGAAAGGGATGGTTTTATGTGAGGGCAGGGCAGGCACATTGGCCTGCTGTTCTCACAATTGTGAGTGCTGGAGCCTGCCACTTGCTGGAACCCGCCACTCACACATGTGAGGCTACACATGTGCAGGCCTGCCACTCATTTGGCCCAGTTGCAATAGGCCACAGCCTGGTATTGGGTCACAGCTCACAGCTCAAAGAACACTTAAACAAAGAAATCTATGTTGTGGATTCCATCACTATTTCCAATCTGATTATACTGCCCTATTTCAATCATCTTATTCAATTAATCTTGACAATTATGAAGGAATTCTGATCCAGTGAATCACCATCTTAGTATTTTAAGTTCAAGCCTTTCTAAGCAAAACACCATTTGTTTTTCCTTAATATTAGCTAGAGAGGAATTTTCAGTAGCAACAAATACATTTTTAAAAACCACTAAAAAGAACAATACTGAAAACAAACATTAAACACTTTGCAGTGTTTGTATGCATTTTACAAACACACTGATCCGATGCCAAAGTGGCAGCTGTGATCTTACAAAATTAAGTCTAAAGACCAATATTATTTTTGCATTGTAACTGTTTTATGAGAATAAACCCCAGCTTGCTTTGGTGACTCTTGAAATTTAAGATAGTTGATTATCTCAGATTTATATATCCAAGCGTTAGAATAAATACAATAACCTTTCATTTTTCAGATCAAACAACATGGCCCTCAGAGTTTCAGCTGGTGACGGTGTCATTCTTTGGAAAGAACACATGTTGCCTATTATGGCCTTCTAAATGTAGATGTATATATTTATATATTCATGTGTGAATGTGAATGGCTGGGGAAGGAGAGAGACACAGAAAGAAAGACTTACATTCTATATACAAAATACNAATGGGAATGGAATAGAATGGAAATAAAATGGAATGGAATAGATCTGTTAAGGGAGTTGTAGAGAAATGATTGCACAGTCCAGAAATTGAACTGAACATGAGAAAGAAACTCAAAATAAACCCACCTTGGTTTTATTCTAAAATGGCAGACAGAGAAACTCAAAACAGGCCTTCAAGATTCTGTTATTATGGCTTAAACCAGAGGTCCACAATCCCCAGACTAAGAACCAGCACCAGTTTACGGCCTGCCAGGAACTAGGTCATGCAAGCAAGCAAAGCCTTCATCCGTGTACACATGGGATCCAGACCACATGCAAAACCATGCTCTCGCTGGTCGGTGGACAAACTGCCCTCAATGGAGCCAGTCCCTGGCAGCCAAAAGATTTAGGGGCCACTGCCTTAAATGATAAAGTATCAATTATGGAATGGAGCTTTAGCTTTTTGATTCAGCCTTCCTTAAAGGACTGATGATCCTTGAGACTTCACTGCTTCTTCTCCATTCCCAGAAGAAACATTGCCAAGAGGTAAAATAAAAGAATATGATAATCCCGAATTAGCAGTCACTTACCAGAGCTCTCCCCCAGCGTCCAGAACTTTTCAGTACCCTCTAAGGCATCCTCCAATTTGAACATAAAAGGTTCTGCAAATGGATAGGAGTCTTTGTCCTCAGCCTTTATATGGAAAGGACCCATTTCATCTCCCTCACAGATGGTCAAAGATGTTGTAACTAGCATTGGAGCATTGTCATTCAAGTCAGAAAGATAAAGTTGAATGCTACCTGTGCCAGTTAATGGTGGAACACCTGGGAGAAAAAAATAATAATTTGATTTTATTTTAAAAGGAAAAAAATACAGACGTAGGACAGAATCTTCAAATTTAGAGAGAACTACATAATTTAGACTACGTAATTTGGCTTGCATGCAGTTCTGAAAAATTCTAGAAAAAGCTGTAAATTGCCTCCTAGTTAAAATAAAATACAAGAAGAAAACAGTCAAATATATGGAGACATTAATCATCATCATCATTCTAGCCATTGTCTATCCACTTGTTTTTCCTCTTTTGGTCTTATCCAGGGTTTTAGCAAGGCGTTCTCTGCCCTGTTGCTGGGTGGGTGTGGCCATGGTGGGCATGGCCTAGTTGGTCTCCTACACCACAGTGGGGGGGGGG